CTGTTACCTGATTTATAGGATTTGTCACATTGTAGCTACATACATATTTAATCATCTTAATATTTCTTACAGAATATTTAAAAAGCTGCTCTGATAATGAGATTATAGAGAGTTATCACACAGAAGACATTTGCTCCATAAATGTTTCCTCCCCTGTTATAAATGTGCTTTGAATCAAATGGCCTGGATTTTCCTGTTTTGCATTAAAAGTTTACATTTTATATTTAGCTTATCAGATCCTTAACATGAGAAACTATTTTGATATGGTAGAAAATAAACACTAAGTTGTTAATGAGGGGGAGTAATCACAAGTAATCCCAGAACCTTCCAGACCTTTGTTACCTTAGCCCTTTTCATGAATTTTCTAAAAATGCTAATTTACAAGTTTTTCTCTTTCTGCTTCCTTTCACATGTAGTGGAAATACTACAGGGAGACAGAAGAAAGAGACAAAAGACCTTTTCAGTACTTGGGAGGGTTATATATTTTAACTTATCAAGTGTAGTATTACATGGTAATTGTTAACATATAACAGTTTAAAGTTATATTCTCTTTTCTTTCCTAGGTGTTACTGTTTTCTATTTATTGAGGAAGAAGAATATAGTAATTTTCTGTTTACTTCCTTTTAGATAATTAGAAGGGTACTACCTTGGAATACATACCAGATTGTACATACAGTATTTTCATTTTATTAATGACTTCAGTGGCACAGATAATTAAGATTTAATTAGTGAAGCCAGGTATGGTGGCATGTGCTGCCTATGATCTTAGTTACTTCAGCAATTGAGGTAAGATCCTTTATGCCATGAGTTTGAGACCAGCCTAGGCAGTGTAGCAAGACTTCATCATATATATATATACTGAACACCTACATTTTTTTAGGAATAACCTGTATTTTAGAGAATGTAAGCATCTTCACTGGCCCCTATAATTAGAAATTTCACATTCATGTTTTACAAAGTACACCTTTACCTCAAATAACCCTTGGCCAGAAAATGTCTTTTAAATATTTGCAGGTGTTAAGAATCTAAAATGATAGGGATCATAGCCTAGGTCATTAACATTACTGACATAGAAATAAAAAGAAATAAAACCTTATATAAGAAATAAAAACATTATATAAGGTTGAGAACATTTTGTATTACTTTGACATTAAATTATGAATAATTATTATCTTTTTAGACCTTTTTTTAGATATACATGACAGAATAGTGTTTTTTGACGTATTATAATACATGGAGTATAACTTCCCATTCTTGTGGTTGTATATGATATGGAGTTACACTGGTCACGTATTCATATGTGAACATAGGAAAGTGATGTCCTATTTAGTCTATCTTTCCCATTCCCATCCCCCCCTCCCTTCCCTTCATAGTTCTTTTTCGTTGTTTGTTGTTTGAGACAGGGTCTGGATGCTGTGTTGTCCTGGTTTATCTTGAACTTTTGGGCTCAAGTGATCCTCCCACACCTCAGCCTCCCAAGTAGCTGGGACTACAGGTGTGTGCACCACACCTGGCATCTTTTTAGTTCTGTGGATAAAAGAACAGATGGGAAAAAAACAAGGCTGACCCTATTTAAACTTTACAGTGTTCATGCAGAATCTGCTCTGTTTTCACAAGGATTACAGGGAAAAAAATAGATCCTTAGAGAACTAAGATTTTGTTAGAGTTTACTGTGTCCAAGGCAATGCTCTAGGCATTTCATGTATAATATCTCATATAGTTCTGTCTGTGTTAACTCTTGCTTGAATTCTTTCATATAGTAAATCAATTTTTACAACTCCTTTACACTAGTTTCTTCTTTTTTGGGAGGGGGGGTGGGGGGTGAGGGTGGTGGTACTGGGGATTGAACTCAGGGGCACTTAACCACTGAGTCATATTCCCAGTCCTACTTTGTATTTTTATTTAGAGACAGGGTCTCACTGAATTGCTTAACACCTCACTGTTGCTGAGGCTGGCTTTGAACTTGGCAATCCTCCTGCCTCAGCCTCCCAAGCTTCTAGGATTACAGGTGTGCACCATTGCACCCGGCTATACTGGTTTCCTCTTAATAGTAAGTCGGAAAGCATGTGGTCACCATACCCCTTAAAAATGGATGGAAAGTGCTGGATGGAAGTGAATGGAAAATGACTGCTAGGTCAGTCTTTTCCTCTTCAGTTTCTATAGCTTTTTGTATAGGTGTTACAGATACCAAATCATCTCGGCTGTTTTCTGTTATATGTTGAATAAAGTCTTTTTAGTGGCGAAGATCAGAATTTTATGTTTTATTTTGACTACCTTAGAAAAGACATGGTCAGAACTCAATAGCTCAGGAACACTGTCTTCCATTCCCTATGCTTTTTAGTTATCCTTCATCTTTAGGTGTACAAAAGTAGGACCAGAGGCTGGGGCTGGGGCTCAGAGATAGAGCACTTGCCCAGCATGCATGAGGCACTGGGTTCAATCCTCAGCACCACATAAAAATAAAATAGAGATATTGTGTCCACCTATAACTAAAAAATAAATATTTAAAAAAAGAAAAAGTAGGAACCGTCATACCTTGAACATATATGAAGTCTGTCATTTTATCAGGGAGCTGAAGCCATTGCCAAAGTGTCTGTTGTTCTTCACAACCCCATTTCTTAGATTGTTTGAGCATATTATTTCTTCATATAGAAGAACATGGAGAAACTTTAAACTACACGGAAACATGATCTCTTTCAACTCTCAACTATGATTCCCATTTATTAATATTTATTGAGCATCTGTTTTGTGCCAGGAATTCTAAACACTGGGGGTAAAGTCCTGAACTAAACAAAGTTCTTTACATCCTAGTGGAAGAGAACTACATATCTCCCAGTGTAAACCTTTGTAATAATAATAATCAAATAAAGATATTGTATGTCAGGGTATGAGTAAGTACAAGAAAAAAATAATTGAGGATTGAGGGGTATGTAGAGAGTGATATTGGAGACAAGGTTCATTTTTATAGAAGAAAAATCTTGGACATTTTGAAGATTTTCATCTCTGTAGATCACTAGTGTTTCTTCTATTTGGAATAATAATGCAGCATGTATATAGATAAAATTGCCATCATTTCTTTAGTGATGCTTAAGTTGTTGCATAACAGCACTTTCCATGTAATCTTGACTGGTCATTTGATATTCACTGTGTCAAGTAAGTGATATAGATGAAAACTGTTTTAAAAATTATATGTGCACGGGGCTGGGGTGGTGGCTCAATGGTACAGCACTTGCCTAGTATGTATGAGGCACTGGGTTCAATTCTCAGCATTGCATATAAATAAATAAATAAATAAATTTTAGATAAATAAGCTTTACTGTATATCAGTCTTTTTCCCTTGGATTTTCCTGAGAGAAGAGATTTTCTTTCTTTTTTTTTAAATATATTTTTTTTATTTGTAGAGGGACACACAATATCTGTTTATTAATTTATTTTTTATGTGGTGCTGAGGATCATACCAGTACCTCACACATGCTAGGCAAGCACTCTGCCACTAAGCTACAGTCCCAGCCCCAGAGTTGTCCATCAACAACTAAAAATAAAAAAATTTAAATTATATGTGGTATTTGTGAATGAGAGCTTTTAACCATATATATGTATTGAGCTTTCAAAAAAAAAAACATATATATATATTTTAGAGAATTTGGTTTGATTTAGAGCTTGATGTCAGCTAGGTCTCCCAAAGGACATGCTATTACTCTTAAAACTGTTAAATCTTATACCCTGTATTTCTGATGTAGATCTGAAGAGTAGATACGCTAGCGCATGCCACATTTGGCTTGTGTCTGATGCCGCCTTCCACAGACTCTGAACTCCCACTAAACTAGGGAGCTGCATATAGAGTCTGTGATTCTGTCCCATCAACCTAGCCCCTGCGTGCCTTTAAGACATGTGTCTGCCCTTCCACAGCACTCCACTTTCTTCTTGGCTTGTCCAGAATCCAGTTGAATGCAGAGCTCAAGTTGCACATCTCCCTCAAAACTTATCCTGCTAAGCATATTCCACAGTGTAATAAATAGCCCTTTGCTAAATGTCTTCTGCACTCATAGTCTGTTCCATATAATTAATAAATACAATGTGTATACCTTTATGTATTTTTAGTTCTGTATTTAGTGAGAGAAGGGAAAAAAGGAGGAAAAAAGATCAGTATGTTAAATCCATAGACCTTACAGCATTTACCATAGAACACATTTTGACTACTGAGCTCAATAATATTCTAAGAACAGTTTTGTGATCTAAGCACATATAGTTTTGTTTGATGCATTTTTGCCCCATGTATGTAAAGGAAGCAATGCTTATGGGGCCTAATATTATCTAATTTTTAAATATTTATTGTACATTAAAGATATAACAAGAAAAAGAAGTTGATATCAATGTTTATAGATTATTTTCAAACAATATAGTAGGTTTTGCTTTGGATATAAACATGCCAAAAGATGCTCAAACCTGAGCAAGGAGTTGGCCTCCTGTGGACTGCTGTGCAGTTTTGTTGACAGCGCCACTTGTTCAGTGGCTGTTTTCATGCCTAGTACTGTGCTGTGTATCATGTGAACAGATGTGAGTCACTGTACAGCTCCAGAAAGCTCATTCACTAACCAGGGAAGCAAGACAGAATTTATTGGCTAAGGAGACCAAACCGCAAAAAAATTGTGGGTTTTTTTCGGTGGTAGTGTGGGGGGGGATTGAACCCAGGGCCTTGTGCGTGCGAGGCAAGCACTCTACCAACTGAGCTATATCCCCAGCCCAAAAAGTTTTTTTTAAACTGTAATTTTTTTTTCTTTTTACTGGTGCTGGGGATTGAACCTGGGCCTCACATATGCTAGGCAAGTGCTCTACACTGAGCTACATATGTAGCCCTAAAAACCTTATTTTCTAATTTTATAATATCAGAAATCTCCCTACTAAGTTGGTAATGGAGGTGTATTTTTTATATGAAGTATTATAACCTGGTGTAGAATTTTGTACCATCATCTTAGCTTTTATTTGACTTTCTCTCATAGTTGGTGTATGAATTCTTCTTGAGATTTTTGGAGAGCCCTGATTTCCAGCCTAGCATTGCGAAACGATACATTGATCAGAAATTTGTACAACAGGTAAGGAACTCTTATGTCCTAAGGTTTTTACATTCATCTTAGCAGTGAATAACTTGTGATTAAAATAGTTCTTCAAAACTTAAAATGGTTTGTTTTAATTTGACAGCATTTAATATTCTTGCCAGACAATTGGGATGAAAGTGAAGAAGCTTTAATATAAAAGTATTTTTATCAGGGGTGAGCTTCTAATGAAGTCAATCAAATTATCGTATCCAGTCCTAAATTCTCAGTTATTTTATAAAGACCAGAAAAGCTTGCCTTTCTGCAGTATCTACGAGAAATTTTAGCATGACCATTCAATCAAAGGGTCAAACTTTTGTTTTAAATTTTAAGTCTTTGTACTTTAACTTGATGTGTATTTTAAGCATTGTGGCTCCTTTCCTGTCAACAAGCATCAGTTCCCCTTCCCCTTACCACCTTATGCATCCTAACCACCCAATTCCTAAACCACAGATAAAATGGGATCATGAGGTGTAATACATGCAGTATCTTCTTTTCATAAATTGGTTATTAGCTCATTTTGGGAACTTATATACTCACAAGGAAAGTGTCCACTTCTTTTATATTTTCAAAGTCTTTGAGGCCTCTTTTTAAATTCTAATTTGTTATATATGACATCAGAATGCAATTCATATTACATAAATAGAGCACAATTTTTCATGTCTGTACACTGTTCATGTTTTCATACATGTACTTAGGGTAATGATGTGCATCTCATTCCACCATCTTTCCTACCTCCACGCCCCCTCCCTTCACAGCCCTCCCCCTTACCCCGTCTAAAGTTTGTTTATTCCTCCCATTCTCGCCCCCCATCCCCATTATGAATCAGTATCCTTATATCAGTGAAGATATTCGGCATTTGGTTTGAGGGGAATGGCTTACTTCGCTTAGCATGATATTCTCCAACTCCATCCATTTACTTGCGAACTCCATGATGTTATTCTCTTTTAATGCTGAGTAATATTCCACTGTGTATATATATACCACATTTTCTTTATCCATTCATCTACCTAAGTGTATCTAGTTTGGATCCACAATTTAGCTATTGTGAATTGTGCTGCTATAAACATTGATGTGGGTGTGTTAGAGGCCTCTTTTAACTATTTGAAATTGGCTGGTTCTAAACAAAATTGCATAGCAGACTTCTAGGGTCATTTTTGCTTTTGAAACACTTATCAGTTAAGGCCTAATTAGGGATTTAATGCCAAGGCCTTATAAGGTCCTTATAAGGACCTTTCCTACCTTTCAGACCACCTTTTTGTGTCCCCTATGAAAAAGATTCCACAAACATAAATTCCACATATTTAGAGTGTATTTTTGGTCATTTGTAGATATCCCCAACCTCATATAAAGTATTCTGACCAGTTGCTGTGGATAAATGAAAAACATTTGTCAGCCTAACCATTCAAGTAACTCTTCATAAATTGCACAGAAATATTAGATGTGTGTTAACAGTAAAATGTATACTTCAATCGTGAGTAAAAATCAGATTAAATCAAGTTATGTTATTTGGGTAATTGCAAATGAAAGCGTATTTTATTTCCTTCTGTAGTTCTCATGGGGGTTACACACATAGACACACACACACTCAACATATTTTTTGGTACTAGGGTTGGAACCCATGGGTGAACGCAGTCCTTATTTTCAAGACAGGTGTTCGTTCACTAAGTTCTTGAGGCTGGCTTCAAACTTGCGATCCTCCTGCCTCAGCCTCCCAATTGCTGGAATTATAGGCATGTGCCACTGCACCTGGTTTCATATAGGATATAGTAAAGGAACTCTAGTAATGCCACATTAAATTGCATCTCAGATAATAGCAGGTTGAGGGGAACCTTGTTTAGTGCCTTCTTAGTCTGGAGCTTGAAGTATTAGGATGGTGGATTTTTCTAGGGGTTTGAGAGCAGAAAACCAGTAGTGTTGGACCCATTTTCTACTTTCTACTTCAAATGCCTGAATTGTCTGAGACGCTAAGGCCCAGAATTTTATTTTGGCAGTCTATATGATCTGCTTTCACAGATAGTTCCTGAAAAACTGTTCAGGTGCTATTTTAATAAATTTATGTTTCCGAAGTCTCAGTTTTTGTATTTTGAAATGATTTGGTAGGTAGTAATTTTAAGACCTTAGGCAGGAGAAAAATTATTAAATTTGGAAAACAACCGCATAATTATAATTTTATGTTCAAATCAGAATTTCAGAAGAAAGAGAGGAAGCTAAGATTTACTGAGTGCTTTTAATATGCTAAGCACTGTCCTTAGGTGCTTTTATATAATGAGCCAGAGCACATCCAATTTCACAACAGCTATTAGGAGGCACAATCAGGATTTGAGCCGAAGTCTCTGACTATGATGGCACCCTATCTTAAAGAAAATTTGGTCTCAACCTGTCTTATTTTATCAATGAAGAAACAAGATCAGAGGTTATGAATGACCCTTATAAGCACCTTGATATTAGTATGGGAACCAGTATAATAGGTTTCCTGATTATTAGTTTTGTGTATGTTTCATCATGTGACTATTATATTTCTAAACAGATTATTTGTTTAGATTATAATATCTGAAAATATATTTCTTTAAATAGGTTGAAAAGTAGCTAACAACTGTTCTCTGATGTTTTCCTCTTAAAAATCAACTTGTATTGAATGATATCTGTTCTTGACTTAGACACAATGACCTTACAATTAAAGGCTCCTTTCATTAACTTGAAAGCATATCTTTCAAGTAAACCCAATATCAGAAACTTGAATTTGAGTGTTAAATGAGCAGGTTAGCTATTTTTAGTCATTGAAACTGGATTAAGCATATTAACATAATTTTCACATACCATGGATTTTTTTTTTTTCAGGAGACTCATGCATTGCCTTAACGTAGCCAACAAAGAATGCAAACTGTGAGCAGTTAACTTGTCAGGCATATATAAAAATGACTTACGCCATCACTACCCTCAAAATACCCAATCATGTTAGAGATGTACATGTATGCAATTATATACGATTATAATTAAAGGCACAATGGAATAAGAACTTCTGATGAGGTCGAGAGCTTTACATCTAAATTTAGTGTAATTATCAGCACCAAAGTTCAGAACATAAAAATCCACATTTCTGGTAAACTCTATAATTTATACATGTGTATTTTTAAAACTTCATTTATTTGATGATTTGCAGTCTAAAAGCTTAATGTGTTAACATACTATCAAAAAGCATTAAACACCTCTCTAATTTTAACACTAAAAATTATAAGCAATGTTTATTAGCTAGGAGGAGGATAGAATGTTAAAAATCAGTGGTAAAGTAAGGGGAATTTTTTGTTGTTGTTTTGTTTTTTGGTAGCGGTAGCGCTGGGAATCAAACCCAGGGCACACTACCACTGAGCTATATATATCCACAGCCCCCCAAAGTGTTAAAGTGCTTAAATTATTGTGTCATTTAAAAAATGAAATTAGTGAAAAGAAATACTCCCTAAGCTTTTCTTTTGCTTTATTTATTTACCAAGGGTAAAATCAATCTGATAGGGCAGAATCTTTTAAGAAAAAAATCTAAAGATTTCATAGATAATCTTAAAGTCAAAATTAGAATAAAGTGAAGTTTTAGCTCGATTATTTTTTAAAAGTAATTTCTCAGATTTTTTTTAAAGCTCCTGGAGCTTTTTGATAGTGAAGATCCCAGAGAACGTGACTTCCTGAAGACTGTTCTGCATCGAATTTATGGGAAATTTCTTGGACTAAGAGCATTCATCAGAAAACAAATTAACAATATTTTCCTCAGGTAAATTATTCATATATTCATAAACAGACACCCTCCATCTTGTCTTCACCCTTTTAGGTTGATTTTTAATATCTGAAATCTACAAATGTAACTGGTTGTATTGGGGTCATTTTTAGCCTGTTTTGTGGATATCATTGGATTGCATCTTAACTTTTTAGAAACTGCAGTAGACAGTAATGATGAGACTAATTTTTTGATAGGCAATACCAATGTTATTTAAGATTCATTGAGAGGAGAATTTACCTAGTTTTCTGTTTCTTTTGAGCTTATTGTTTATCTTTTTTTAATATTTATTTTTTGGTTATAGTTGGACACAATATCTTTATTTTATTTTTATGTGGTGCTGAGGATCGAACCCAAGGCCTCGCACGTGCTAGGTGAGCACTCTACCGCTGAGCCACAATCCCGGCCTTGAAATTTTTTGTACAAATAGTATTTAAACCAGTGGCTCTTGGAATTTCTTTTATTGATTTTTCTGACAAGGCTAATTAACTACCTATGGGACCTATCATTTGACTACTGTGAATCTGTTAAATATTCGCTTCAAATCAGGAGACTTCACATTTAACACCCGCATTTCAGGTTTGTTTTAATTAGTTGAAGACCTGTCAAAAGTAGGCCAACATTCCACATTGCAGTAGTGACGAATGAGTGAAAGCTCCCTCCTCTAGTCAGAGCATCTTCTACATTTCTCTTGTCATCTCCTTTGTCCACTTCAGCCATATGTTCACACCTGTGCTGGCCTGTTGTATTTGAGTTTATGATCCCCTGCTTCAAAAGAGAGCCTAGTGTTGTAGGGCTAGACAGCCTGTGTTGTCTGAACAAAAGTCACTTTACTATATATCAGTCTTTTTTTCTCTTGCATTTTCCTGTGAGATTTTCTTTTTTCTCTTGCATTTTCTTGTGAGAAGAGATTTTTTGCTTATTAATTTATTTTTTATGTGGTGCTGAGGATTGAACCAATGCCTCATGCATGCTTAGGCAAACGCTCTGCCACTGAGCTACAGCCCTAGCCCAAAAGAAGAAATTTTCTATTTTGAAAAGTATTTCTTTGAGAAAAATCATCTTTCTTATTTATTAAATAAGATAGAATATTCCAAGTAAAATGATACTCTGTTCTCCTCACATGTCAAGTTTTACAAAGGTATATTTTGTTAAGGTTGCTGATTTGGGACAAATTAGCTTATTACAAAGACAACCCAAAGCACACCTGTGTTTTATACTGCTGCCTTTAGAATGATTTCTTCACCTTCAGTTTTCTTTTAGTTTTCTGATGTTCATTATATCTACTTTATTTTAAATTCAGGTTTATATATGAAACAGAACATTTCAATGGTGTTGCTGAACTCCTTGAGATCTTAGGAAGGTAGGTCAGGTTTTCTTGTTCTTTTTATTCATTAAGAAAGTTTAAATATTTTATGTAATAAAATCTTAGCTAGAGTTGAAGAAATTATTTCCTATTTTAGAACTTAAAATATTGAGCGCAGTGCAAGAAGCTGGGATTCAATCCCTCATACTACAGGAAAAAGAAGGAAGGAAGGAAGGAATAGTTTCTCAAGATATTGTGAATATTTGATAAAGTTACAGGTATTCTTGTTCAGTATCGATAGACCATTCCTTATTCATCTCTTCTTTCTAGAATATCTTTAGTCTTTGGCTTTAGTTTGCACAAACATTTTGCCTGCCTTATTCACTACAAAGCATTATTAATTTGAGAGAATTTAGAATTTAGAAATTTCCTCTATTTCTGTTCAGAGAATATTTAGAAAATAAGTGTGGAAAAAAAACACGACTTAATTTCAGATTATCCAACAAAGAGAAACTATCCATTTATTTCAGAAAATATTGAAAATTCTACCTATTGTGACATTGACTCTCCTATGGCTTTAAAGAGGAAAATAAAGGCAAAATGCATAAATAAAGTGACAGTCTTTATAGAAAATGAAACAAATTACATACTGTGGCATTAGTTGGCAGTCATGGTTTTCTTTGAGGATTACTGAATGACAGAGGAACAGAATTCATAATAATAGTCTTTCTAAAGTAGTTCAAAGATGAATGAATGTACAACACCAGGATTGAAGCAGAGCACTGTTCCTCATATAATCGTGGATAGTATCCCTTTTAGAAACAAAATAGTAACTACTTAATCCTCCCCCCTGCCTTTTTCTCCCTCCAGTATTATCAATGGCTTTGCATTGCCACTGAAAGCAGAACATAAACAATTTCTAATGAAGGTTCTTATTCCTATGCATACTGCAAAAGGATTATCTTTGTTTCATGCTCAGGTAAGTTTCAATTGAAATGAATTTTGTTTAAAAGACGAATAGAAAGACGGAGAAATATTGAGATGACAATTTGAAGTATAACCAAGAAGTTTGCTTTGTAAGTTGTCTATAGAAAATTTTCATTATAAGCTTAAAATATTATGATATTTAGTTATTAAACAAAACCAGTACATGTCAAGTTTACTTGCATTCTGATCCATGTCCTTACCTCATTAACTATGTGACTTTGAATAAATCCCACATTTCTTCAGACAGTTACTTGCGATCATGAAATCTAGAAAGATTTTGGTCTCCTCTATTAATATTTAGAAAATAATTCTATATCAGTATAGGCACATATGTAGTTACATGCTAAAAAACTAAATTGTTAGCTCTACATTTATTTCAGTGAACTTTATAGTGAGAAATCACTATTCTAAAAAAAAAGAACATTTTTTGAATTAGAAATTACTTTCAAGATTAAAAATTTACACATTTTGAGTATATTCATTTTTATATATTGAAATAAACTAGAGTAAAATTGATCAAAATGATATTTTTGTGGGCTAAATACAAAAAACTTCCATCCCTACATGTTGTTTCACTCAATAACATTTATAAACTTTTCTTTTACCTTCTAGCTAGCATACTGTGTTGTACAGTTCCTAGAGAAAGACACAACATTGACAGAACCAGTAAGTATTCCATTCATGTTCATGTTTTTGTTCTGTATTCATAGCATTTCATTTTAACTTTCTCTATAGTCTCACAGAGTTATCAAACAGTAATAATAATGTACCTTAAGCTAAAATCATTTAGGAGCAATGTGAGGTTAATTTGCAAAGAACAGGGCTGGGAGGGGAGAATGCTCATGAGTTATGTGTCTTGAATAATATAATAAAATATTAATATTAATAGGTAGTAATTGAGATGTGTGACAATAGGAGAAAATGACCACAGTGAAATTTTATATGTGTATAATCTTTATTGGTAATCTTTACTTTTAATTTACCTTTCAGAATTAAAACATACTGTGAGGGTTTCAAAACTATTTCCTTGAATTTTTGTTTTACTTTTAGAAATAGGATATTGCCTCTTATTAATGATAAACCTCAAGATAGGAATGAAAACACCTCCTTGCCTTTAAGATGGAATTTTAGAATAAAGGTTGTTACTTCAGGAGAGAGGAAAAAGATAGTTATCATGAAGATGCAAAAAGAGCTGAGATAGGTTGAAACAGAAAAACAGAAAATATTTTAACCTTGATGAAATAAGTACTTTGATAGAATGCCTCCTCAACATTTTAAATTAATATTTAAACTAAGATAGTTGTTGAAGAATAGCAGAAGGATTGAAGGATTAAAATTAAATTTTAAAGATTTTTAAAGCCTTTTTAGGAGCCCCCTAGGGATGCTTGAAAAAATTACATACTTAAGTCTTCTTTGACTTGAACCTTTTGTAAAGGAAAAATATTTTTCCATTCCCTGATTTTTCATGTTTTTGGATTTTTGGATTCTCAGTTGTTGCTGAAAACAGTTTTGAAAGATAAATCAGGATTAATAGGCACACGGTATTTTCACATGAAAACATATAACCTCAAAAGGGAATTAACACTTAATATAATTTCATAATGATTCCTCTTAGAACTGAGAAAACACATATTAAGTCATGGTTCATGCCTGGTAAATAGTAAACAAATATAATTTTACTTTTTAATTGGAGTGAGTAAAGAGGATAAGTGATTACTTTTTAAAGAGTGGAAACTAGGGAGAAAAATAATGCCCAGATATCTGGCCTGGGTGAGCTGGGTTTATGGAAATAGGCAAGAGGAAGGTCAATGTCTAGGTTAACAAAGGAAAATTTTTTTTCAATTTGTAAAGATTTCTACATACACAGGTTTTATGATTTCTACTATAGGCCATTCTAACACCCAAATTATGACATTACTTGGATTTGAGCCTTAATACAAATAGTCCCCAACTTATGATGGTTCAACTTAATGATTTTTCAGCTTCACAGTGGTGTGAAACAATCTGCATTCAGTAGAAACTATACTTTAGATTTTGACCCTTCCCCAGGCCAGCCACACGTGGTACAAGACTCTCATGATGCTGGGCAGTGGTCATGAGCTGCAGCTCCCAGTTAGCCACACTGTCACAAGGCCAACAGCCAGTACTCCAAGGTGTACTGTGTAACTAAGCTATATGTTTCATAGGTTAGATGCTTTCCATGCATTTTTGACTTGGCTGTTTCCAACTTAACAGTGAGTTTACTGGGATGTAACACCATCATCAGTTAAGGAGTTACTAATTTTCTGGAAACCTGCATTCATTTCAAAGCCACCTACAAATTATAAACAGGTTAGGGATTTTGCTGTTTTATTATAATCTAAAAGTACCTAAATCTTGAAATTATTGTTATTTTCTAAAATGGAAATCACTGTTACTTCCATTTGTAAAAGTAATGTATATTAAATTAGTTCACACAATACAAAAACTAAAGCACAGTGTGAAAGTTCCCTGAAATCTTGTCCTTTAGAGATAATAAGTTGGTAAATACAGTTTTGGTTTTTTTTAACCTCATTATACCATGGTTAGATTTCCATGTTAATCCACTTCATTTTTTCCATTGATGGCATAAAATCTCAATGGGTTACTATTCATTAATCCTCTCTTAGTTGACACTTGATTGAGCTTTTTACTGTCATAAACATGTTGCTGGGGAGAGCATGTTTTGGGGTATTAGAATTGTTTTGTTCCTGTCTGTGGTATTAGTTATAAATAAGTCTTTATAAATCCTCAGAACTGTATACCAAAAGAAAAAATGGGCCAGGCCCGGTGGCTCACATTTTTAATCAGTGGCTCAGGAAGCTAAGGCAGGAGGATCTTGAGTTCAAAGCCATCCTGAGCAAAAGCAAGGCACTAAGCAACTCAGTGAGACCCTGTTTCTAAATAAAATACACAGTAGGGTTGGAGATGTGGTTCAGTGGTCAGGTGTCCTGAGTTCAATCCCCAGTACTGAAAAAAGGGGGGAAAAAAAGAATTTTACTGTTTGAAAATTTAAGAAATGAAAACATTTAAAAAGTAAAATCTGTGCTGCTGAGTCAGAGTGTATGCAAATTTTAACATGTTAGAAATTGTATTCCTAAAAGTTTATACTATTTTCACAATATTTCACTCCAGAATGAGGCAGTACCTATTTTCCCTTACCTTAGCCAATCAATGCTAAATACTAAGTTTTAAAGTCTGTTTATTCTATAAGGTGTGAAATATTTTAATTTGCTATTTTGTTATATATGAGGATCGAGCCACCCTTTAATATGTTTATTGGTCATTTATATTTCTATGTCCTACGTTTAGCTCTTTCCCTATTGTTATTTTGCAAAACCTTTTTGACCACTTGGGAGTTTGTCTTAATTTTGAATATACTGTTTTTTCTCTTTAAACAAAACAATAATTTTTATGTCATAAATCTATTTCTTTGTCTTACTAAAAAAATCTTCTTATGGGCTGCAGTTAATTGTAGCTAAGCGGTAAGAGCACCTGACTGGCATGTGTGAGGCATGGGGCTCCATCCTCAGCACCACAGAAAGATAAATAAAATAAAGATATCATGTCCATCTAAAACTAAAATATATATATATATATATATATATATATATATATCATGACAATACAATGATCTTGACATATCATACATTTGATTCAAATAGGGTATGAATTCTCATTTTTCCATGTGTACAGGTTGCAGGATCACATTGGTTATACGGCTGCATATATACATACAACTACCCGCCCCCCTTGCCAGGTGCAGCAGCAAACACCTGTAATCCCAGCTACCTGGATAGCTGAGGCAGGAGGATTGCAAGCTCAAGGCCAGTCTCAGCAAGACCTCATCTCAAAATAAAGGGGGATGTAGCTCAGTAGTAGAGTGCCCCTAGTTCAGTACCCAGTATCATACACACACACACAAAAAAAAAAAAAAAGGAAAAAGAAAAATCTTTCTACCCTGAAATTATAAAAATATTCTAAATTTTTGTAGTAGTTTTCTAGTTACATATTAAAGTTATTTTAGAGTTAGTTTTGCTTTCATATCTTTATTCCAGTTATAGTTTCCTAGGCTCCATAATGAGGTAACACAAACTTGGTGGCTTAAAAACAACAGAAACTTACTCTCTCACAGTTCTGGAGGCCAGAAGTCAAGGTGTCACCTGAGGCCTAAGGGAGATAATCTGTTCCACGCTACCTTTGTCATGTATTAAAACCATATATGCCTGAGTCTGTCTAGATACTCTTTTATTTATCTCTTCTGTCAGTTTCTGTGCTAACACCATCTAGTTTAAATTGCTGATATTGGTAGTATAGGTTGTATTCCATTGATCTTCCCTCACCAAAATAATAATAACAACAACAACCTTGGCTATTGATTACATTTGCCAGTTTTAGAATAAATATTTCCATAATTCCAAAGGTAACTCAATTGGTATTTGGAATTTATAGATTAAATTCAGGAGAAAAATAGTTATAATCCTATTAGATGGTCAATACGTTTTTTAAAAAGGACAGGAGAAAGAATAAGTTGCTTATGAAAATTATTTTTAATCTATTAAAGAAATTTTTATATATTACCTTCCAACTAGCCACATACTGACTTTTTCTATTCTAGTAATTTTCAAGAAGCATATAACTGCTACATACTTAGACAAATAGAATTTATTATTCCTTGCCAGCATTATTCATCAGATTCCTTTGTCTTACTGAATCCTGGCTCCAAAATTATGTTCCACCCAAATTTAATTTGAGTGAGAGTTACTCATTACTGGATCAGACCAGCAAACTATTAAGTGACCTAAAAGGGTAGAAAAGAGGGGCTGGGGCTCAGTGGTAAAGCACTTGCCTAGCATATGTGAGGCCCTGGGTTCGATCCTCAGCACCACATAAAAATAAATAAATCTTTTTTAAAAAAAGGCTAGAAAATATGTATTTCCACAATTCTTCCAAGCTTAGATGGTTTTATAGCCTGTGTCTAAAAAACCATTATGTAAAATGAGTGCTGATGGTCTCTGATAAATTCTGTCTTGTCTTTTTTATCAGAATATATAGTCAATCAAAAAAAATCAAATAACTATTCAAAATCATTTAAGATCCTACAGTTTTTTCCTTTTAACCTATAGAGTTGAACCATCCTGGCATTTCTAGGATAATTAGCCATGAAATAGTGTTCTGTTAATATACTGTTAGGGGCTGGGGTTGGGGCTCAGTGGTAAAGCACTTGCCTAGCATGTGTGAGGCACTGGGTTTGATCCTCAGCACCACATAAAAAGAAATAAATAAAGGTATTGGGCCCATCTACAACTAAAGAAAAAGAAAATACAGGTCCTTTCTTGCATTTTGGTTATCAAGATTATGGTAGCCATAAACAAACTGGGAAACTCTCTGGCTCTTTTTTTTTTTTTTGCTTCATAATAGTTTAGATAACAGAAACTATCTGTTCTTTACGGTTTCTCCCTAAAATAACTTCCCTCTTTTACCTCACCACTTTAATCCTGTCTTATTTAGTAGCATATACTGCTATTGAAATTGTTCTATGTGTATACATAGTTGATCACTCATGTTGATCTCCATCCATTAGAACATAAGCCCTGTGAAAATCAGAAACCTCATCTCTCATTCATTCATTCATGTCTCCAACATGAAGAACACTGTCTGGGCCAGGCGCAGTGGCGCACACCTGTAATCTCAGTGGCTTGGGTGGCTGAGACAGGAGGATCTCGAGACTTCAAAGCCCGCCTCAGCAAAATGGCGAGGTGCTAAGCAGCTCAGTGAGACCCTGTCTCTAATAAAATACAAAATAGGGCTGGGGATGTGGCTCAGTGGTCGAGTGCCCTGAGTTCAATCCCCGATACCAAAACAAACAAACAAAAAAAAATGCTGCTTGGTATATAATAGGCACTCAGTAATTTGTTGAATGAAAGTTTAAAGTGGAGCAGAAAATATCTAAGTATAAACTTAGATATTAAATATATTACTTCAGAATAAATGTTAATTAATCATCATCATTAAAAATGTTCTGGGATTGACTACCTTCATTGTTCAACTCATCCTAAAGTTTTTTTATTTTTATTTTTTTCCTGCAGGTTATCAGAGGACTGCTGAAATTTTGGCCAAAAACATGTAGTCAGAAAGAGGTGGGTTCTGTTCACTGAAGTAGTGCACTGTAGCAGAACTGTCCAACCCCAGGGCTGTGAACTCCTCTCAGGCTTGGCCACAGTGGTGCTGACGCAGAGCGGGAGATGTGGGGAGACTGGGTAGGACTGCTGTGCATTACAGTGAATTGTACGCCAACCAGACCTTTTTTGCTCACTTTATAATTTGTAGATTAAACTCATTCATATGGTGTCTATATAAACATCATATAATTTGTCATTGTTTTTTAAAAGAGAATTTTTTTAACCTAGGTGATGTTTTTAGGAGAAATTGAAGAAATCTTAGATGTCATTGAACCAACACAGTTCAAAAAAATTGAAGAGCCGCTTTTTAAGCAGATATCCAAGTGTGTCTCCAGTTCTCATTTTCAGGTAAGATATTTTCAGTGGCACCATTCTTGGTTTTTACTGTTATTTCTTTTATCTTAAGAGTTTTGACATTTCTGAATGTCTTTTTTAGGTTGCAGAAAGAGCATTGTACTTCTGGAATAATGAATATATTCTCAGTTTGATTGAGGAGAATATTGATAAAATTCTACCAATTATGTTTGCCAGTTTGTACAAAATTTCCAAAGAACACTGGAATCCGTACGTGTTTTTATGTTGGTCATGTTTTTCTTGTATTGTCTTTCAAACCTTTTTATCATTTGATTTCCTAACTCATACGTGAAAACCTACAGAGATATGGAACTTATGCCAAAGGTTAACATCACCATTTTATTCTATTCTGTATTTTATATACGTACAGTTTTATAAAGTTGTAAATGTACTTCAGCATTTGGTGTAACGTTCTGTACCAGTGTGTGGTCAGACGCCATGAGGCATGCGAGGTGCAAGGCAGAGCTGTGCTGCCTGGCTCTCAGTACAGCCTCATCTCTGTGGGTTGCACCATCCTGGGGAGAAGCTGACATGCTTAAGCCATAGTGACACACAGTAGAATGCATATATATTTCTACTTCCTGTGACATTCTTATGCTGTTTTCCACTTTTAATTTATGGTAATTAGATCTTTTTTTAATCTTATTTTAATGTTACTTGGGGTTTCAGATAATGAGACTAGAGCAGAGATTAAGATAACTAGACGTATTTAGTGAGTTTTAAGCATAACATGGAAAGGGTGCAAGTTTTGGGATTACACCATCTTGACCACCACTGGCCGTGGGACTTTGAACACATTATAAACCTTTGAAACCTCGGTTTTATCATCTCTAAAACACCCCAAATTAAAGGAATCAGCCAACATTTAAGTTCTCTTAGAATTCTCCAATCTGCTAGCTTCAGTAACCCAGGACTGGCTCCTTTTCATTTCAGGACCATTGTAGCCCTGGTGTACAACGTGCTGAAAACCCTAATGGAAATGAACGGCAAGCTCTTTGATGACCTTACGAGCTCATACAAAGCTGAAAGACAGAGGTATTTGATATGTTGAATTTTAAAATTATCTAACATTTTAGTTAGTAGAATGTGATTCAATTCAGCAAGATAAAATCTTCTGAGTTTTGTTTACAAAGTCAGTTACATTAAATGTAATTTGAAAGTCTCTAAATGAGTCATTTCCAGATAAACTAGCCCCAGCACTTTTTATAAATTTGTTAAGCAGAAAAAGCAGTGACATTTATTATTTAAGGTTGTTACATAATTTACTTACCCTAATGATTAGATTAGGATTTTAATGTGGATCATAAAGCCTATTTACCTCATTCTGAGATAAACAGGCTTTATGATAAATACCTTAGATTTCCTCAGTCTGGTAGCAGTCTACATTGTGAAATACAATTTATGCTGAATTTCCAATACCAATTTATACAATTTGATTTCTTACATTTATGGAAATCACTTTTGTGCACGTGGGCTTCCATAGTGAGCATCATTCTTCACTTGTTCCTTGTGTAATAGTTTTGATAGTTCTGATGCTGCGAATCCCAGAAAGTGGGTTCAAAGGGCAGTGTGGCTCTTTAGGAAGAGGGAACTCACATAATGATATACTCGGGTACTAGTGATGTGCTGTTCCTTGTGTCAAATATATTTTAGAGGAGAAATGACAGTTCATATCAGCCTTTAGAAACATGGCTTAGTGGTTACCTCTTTGAGAATTTCACCAATTATTATTATAGTCTTGAAATACATATATGGAAAGTAAATTGTTTTTTTAAAAGTAAGAAGATAGGCAAGTAATCAGTGTACCTAAGTCCACCCATCATTCGAGGATAACAGCTACTATTTACTTCTAAAAAGCATATTATCTATTCTGTTCAGAAAAGCTGGCATTTTTACTACAAATTCCTAGTAATGGTTTTCTTTTGCCAAGTAAGGAAAGAAGCTAGCCCTTCAATAACCCAATGTATTATTTTTCTTAAATAGCAGTCTTTCAGGCAGGAACAGAAATTAGGCACATGATTTGATTCCCAGGAAGCAATGGAAAGAAATGTTTCTCTTAGCTGGGTGTGATGGTAATTCCAGCAACTTGGGAGGCAGAGGCAGGAGGCTTCATGAGTTCAAGGCCAGCCTCAGCAACTTAGTGAGACCCTATCTCACAAAATAAAAAAGAATGGGGATGTAGCTCAGGGTAGAGTGCCCTGGGTTCAATCCCCAGTGCCACAGAATAAATTTCCTTTGGAACTGAAATTAAGTTGTTGAAGCAACATATAAACTATCTTGACATTGGCTGTTCAAACTTCAAGGTTTTCATTTGATATGAAAGAGAGGGCTGGGGTTGTGGCTCAGCGGTAGAGTGCTCTCCTTGCATGTGCGAGACCCTGGGTTCGACCCTCAGCACCACATAAAAATAAACAAAATAAAGGTATTATGTACAACTAAAAAATAAATATTAAAAAGAGAGAGAGAGAGAGATACAGAAGAGAGTAAGATACCAACTGGTTGTGACTAGAGATGCAACAGGAAGGTGCTTCAGACTGCCCTTGTGGCCACTGCCATTGGTCTGTCATAGTGATCCAGCTGCTACACTGACCACAAGAAGTTAACATTAGAAACTTAATGTCAAAGTGCTTTGTTTACAATAAAGCAGGGTTGTGGTCTTGTATTGGGAGGGAAAGCCAGTGGTCACCTTCAATTGGTACAAGAGATGAACAGACTAATTACACTTACAATAGTGACAAAGAGAACTCAGATGCTCCTGGTAGCTGAACACCAGCGCTGTAGCAGAGGGATTTGAGTGACTTGTGGGCCAACAGCGTGTCCTCCAATAAACTACCAAACAGCTTTTTTTCTTTAGCTTCTGAAAGAATTCCTGATTACAAAAATTGTGATTTATCTACAGAGAGAAGAAGAAGGAATTGGAACGTGAAGAATTATGGAAGAAATTAGAGGAGCTAAAGCTAAAGAAAGCTCTTGAAAAACAGAACAGTGCTTACAACATGCACAGTATTCTCAGCAATAAAAGTGCCGAATAAAAAACAGCCTATCACGTGTGCTGGATAGGCAGAGTTTTGTACACTTTTTTGGAATATGTAAAAATTGCAAAGCAAACCTCATCAATATAATATAATTAAAAGGCCAATTTTTTTTCTGGCAACTGTAAATGAAAAATATATATGGACTAAACATAGCCATGTGCTGTATCATGGCCACAGTATATTGCAACCTTTGTCTAATCATTGATTTATTGTGTCACTTCTGAAGTTTCACAGAAATGAATTCTATCATCTGTGATATGAGTGAGATAATTATGGGAGTGGTAAGAATTATGACTTGAATTCTTTTTTGATTGTGTTGCACATAGATCAAGTAGTCCGCTCTGTATATTTTCCCCTTTTATAATGTGCTTTTGACATTGCTGCAGACCTTAGTTACATCTTAGGAAAAAGAATACTTCCTGAAATAAAACTAAGGTATCATCCTCAGCCTTCCCCTTGTCTCTCCCAGAAACACGATGGTGGGATAACCTGCCCTGAAGTATATTACTGTACTCTGGAATTTGAGCAAAACCTTAAATCTCCAGGCTTTTAAAGCACAAAATATAAATAAAAGCTGGGAAAGTAAACCAAAATTCTTCAGATTGTTCCTCATGAATGTCCCCCTTCACCTGCAACACCCCAGAGTGAGCACTCCTCTGGGTTCATTCCTCCTCTTCCTCTGCAAGGCTGGAGGCAGGGCCTTTCCAGTCCCCATACCTGCCCCTCCCCCAGGCCCTCCTGACCCAGGGATGGCGTCCCACAGTGTGGTGGTGCAGACTGCTAGTTGTCACTGCCTGGCTTTATTTAAAGGGAATGCAGTAGGCTCCCTCTGTAGAATTCTGAAAAAGTTGACTACATAGAGGTCTTGTATGTTTTTACCTGGTCAAGTATTTCTCACATCTTTTGTTATCAGAGTACCATTCCAATCTTTTAACTTGCAGTTGTGTGGAAAAGTGTTTTGTAATGAAAGATCTTCATTGGGGGATTGAGCAGCATTTAATAAAGTCTATGTTTGTATTTTGCCTTATGTGATCTTTGCTTTTTTCAGCTGCAAGCTTAGCATTCGGGAGAAGCATGCTCCCCTTTAACATACATATGCATATTTACAGAAAATAAAGACGAATTGCAGAATGCATTCCAATTAAAAATAAGAAGATTGTGGGCCGTAGGTTAGTGTTCTAGCCATTTACCGACTTTATCTGTTTTACAGAGTATTTTCATCAAATTCTAAGTTCTCAGATATCCTTCCATCTTCTTTCATGTTTACCTCTAAATCCAGTTTTAATTAAAACAGAACCAAGATGATAAATCTCATAATCCACAAGACATAACAGCCTGTTTTGTGAAGGGCAAGGAGACTGGCAGATGAAAGTCAGACATTACTGTAATGACATGTTTTCAGCTACTGATACTTACACCTACTTCTTTAACATCAGTCAGAAACCACCAGAGGCGCTACACAATACTCCCAGGTCACTGTGAAGGGCATCCTCTGCTCTCTGTGGCCTGAGGAGAAACTCTCCCTTCCTGCACAGTGGTTCTTGTCGGACTAGTTTCAAGTGGGCGAGGTATCAAGGGGGTCCCAGCCTGCCACACTAGCCCCAGGCCAGCAGCAGTGCTGACAGCCAGAGACCCCACAGCTAAAGGATGATCCTACAACACACTGACAGGAAGGCGAGCTCTTGACTTTCCAAAAAGCAAAAGTCACATCTAAATGTCTATTTTGTAAGTTTATGAATATTTCTTTTACTAAAGAACAGCTAGAGTGCATTTTTACAGGCTGCAACTAATAGTTGTTAAAGGTTTGTTTTTATTTTTTGAACAGGTAAATGTGCTTACTTATTTCCTATTAAATATTTACTTAAATATTTGTTATTAAATATTTATGCTTATTTTCTAAAGCACATTTAATAGGTCTCCCCACTTTCCACAATATGGGATAGTTTTAGCATGTTCATTGGAGCAAATTTTATTAGCTATTTCAGTAACATTAAAAGGATTTTAGTTGGCTTATTTTTTTGAATTTTTTATTTGGTGGTGGGGATTGAACCCAGGGTTTCACATACACAAATAAGTACATGCTCTGCCACTGAACTACATCCTTAGAGATGCTTTAAAAAACAACACAAACCTAATTTTCAATACTATTAATATAAGCTTTTATGCTTGGCTTTGCATTTACCCTAAATAAAAGTTAATAGAGACACTTAGGCTAAAATCTGAATTCTCATGCTTTTGTGGAACAAGATAGTAGCAGTAACTATTTCTTTACACAAGTTCATTTTTACTATTCAACCAAAGGTTTCTTACTGCTAAGTTAGACACAAGATAAAAATGTCCTATTTAGACATCTGAGTTGTTCTCTTTGGATTATCTAAAGTCAGATTGTGAGTTCAAAACACACTACCATATCTTCTTTGTATGCGATGGCCATCTAAATAATTTGAAACTCCGAAAACAATTTTTATGATCCTCAGTCAATGTGAAAACTACCTAGGTTTTTTGGGTTCTCATCTCTGTCAAAAGCTAGACCAATGGCTTTGAGAGTCACACTGTATTCCCCTTTCTCCGACAGGTAGTTTTGGAGGACGCACTGCCCAGTTTTTTCATGGTCTGTGATAGACCCCTCTTCCTGGCCACCTACCATCAATCACCATGCCCAACTTACCTGCCCTGGAATCAGTCATGACCTACCTCAGACGTCAGCTCCATGCTGGGATTTCAGACCCATGCTATGCTGCCTTTCGTTTCTGGAGATAACAGCATGAAAGATATTGGTTGGTTCCTGTTGATTTCAATAATGGCAGACTATTCCTTTCGTATTAACTCAACTTTTATTTACCTGTTAATGAAATCAGAATATACTTGAGTAGGCACCTGCTAGGTACATCTCCTAGTGCTTTTGAGTGTTAATCACTTAGACCTGCATTAACACAGACTCCACCCAGAGCAGGTGGTGACTAGTGAGTCCACGAGAAATTTAATCACTAGTTTCTAGTGGCTTTTAAAGTCTCATTTAATAGTTAACATTCAGAGAACTCAGTCAGAGCCTGGACAACACAGATGGTAGAGGATGTCAAAGGGTTTTGGGTACAGTGCACAAGTTCCAAAGCATGACCTGCACATCTTGGTAGACAGGATTTTTGGTAAGAGAAAATCACATTTTCTTCTGTCTACTTCAAAAACGTCAAAGAAAAACCTAAGGGACAAAGGAGAGCCTTAAGTATCCTGCTGGACCTTAGCTATACAGTGAACCAAACAGGAAGAAAGGCACCTTCCACAGCCCCACTCCTCAGGCATTGGACAGCTCTGTGAAATGTTCATTAATAATTTAAATACTTAAATAACTTTCAGGTTATCCACTGGATCTTTTCCATCAGGCTGGAATCAGCCTCTTTCTGAGTTAGGAGTTCCAGTTTGACAGGCTCTTCCTCCCTTCGAGGCCCCTTTTCTTCAAGTGAATACAGGATTGCTGGTGGCTCCGATGTCAAAATGGAAGTGATGAGGACTTCCGTGACTGCGGGCAGTTCCCTGGTCACACAGGTGGCTTCAGCTTATGTGGTTTGTGGCCTGACCTCTTCTTTTGAGGTATCGCTTCCTAATTTTGATCATCCATTTCACACTGAGTTTGGCAAACTCCGCTGCTTTAAATAATGCCAAGAAAGCCCCACAGAGAAGAGCAATTGTGTTCCAAGGATTGGCTGTGATTATCTGCAAAACAAGCAAATCCGGGGTTACTGGCTTGCTTCAGTCTTCATTATTAAGTCATACAGGTGTTACTGTCAAACCACACTCCCAGATTTATTGAGGTGACAAGAAAACACCTGTGTTCTGAAGCTGTCCTAGCTCTGAACTTCCTTCAGGCTATACCTTTTATGTCCACAGCTCAGACTGAGGAGAAAAATACAAATCCCTTAAAGAGATTCTGGAAGAAAAAAATTGTTTCTCAAAAATCTCTGTACAGGGCTGAAGCTATAGCTCAGTGGCAGAGCGCTTGCCTAGCATATGTGAGGCACTGGGTTCCTTAGCACCATATACAAATAAAACAAAGGCATTCTGTCCATCTATAACTACAAAACAAAAATTTAAAAAAATCTCTATACAAACAATATAGTACTCCATACTGAGCTTTAACTTTTTAAAAATATTTTTTTTAGATATTGATAGACTTTTATTTTATTTATTTCTATGTGGTGCTGAGAATTGAATCCAGTGCCTCACACATGCTAAGCAAGTGCTCTACCACTGAGCCACAACCCCAGCTCCCTGAGCTTTAATTTTGTGGCCTAATCTAACAACAGCTTTGCTTTAAGATCAATTTCCCTACAACTATACCCAACTTATAAGAAGGTGAATTCCTCTTGTTTTTTCCCCATCTCATACACCTTAGTTTCACGATCCCCTGCCTGTGATGTTCTCCTATCTTGATTTACCAATCCATCAAAATCTCAGCGCTTTCTCTGACCACTAAGCCAAAACCCTCTCTGGATCTCAGCAAAGCTATTTATCCTACAAACAATTTTGACAGGTACTTGCCTCTGGTGTTAGTTATAAAGCAAGATTGCTGCCTCATTAAATGTAAACACTTGGAGGCAGAGGCTTTCTATTCAATGTCTAAATTTCCAACCAAGTTAAAACAAAAACACTTGGAAACCCAGTTTAGCAGGGTGACTGAGACAAAATAAGCCTCAGGGTTCCCACAGGTGAAATGGCTACACCACCACCATTCTGGATTGCTGGGAAGCCAAGTGATGACTCAAGAAAAGCATGCCTCCGGGAAGAGGCTCTTCTTGGCCCAAAGCCCATGCTGAATACAGTAAGTTAAAAAAAAAAAAAAAAAAAAAGGTTCAAGTGCACATTTTACAGGTACAGCTCAAAGCTAGTATCCTTCTACCCGGAGCCTTCTCAGTAAGCCTTTGCACCTACTCTTTTCTACACAGCCTTGTGGCCGTAACAGTAGGGTGGCAAGGAAGACAGCTGTCTTACAAAATCCCTACTTGGTCCCAAGAGTACAAGGTTGAGGCTAAAACTATGAAATTTCTTGCCCCAAGTAATGATCCTGTCAGGACTCTTGGTGATTTTTAGACTCAGGTCTGGCTCTAGTGAATGTGGTGCCAGTGAATGTTCCTTTTGCAAAGCCTTTCAATTATGTCTCTCCTTCCAAGGTTGTTGAGTCTGAGGATCTGGGCATTCATTGATGCTTTAATTATTTGTGCCTTTCTGCTCTGACTTACCACAAATAGTAAGTACCTACTATCTTGTAGAGACCCTTTAAAAAAGAATGAAGTCTAATAGTAGTCTATTTAGTAGCTTCATGCTTTCTATTTAGTCAATTAATATTACACTGAGCAGCTCCTCAGTGCTAAGCACTCTGCTAGCTATCAGAGTCATGGTGAACATTATGAACCTCCTCTCTAGAGGGACGAGAGTCTAGATGAAGACAAAGTCAATTAAACAAACTACATACTATAACATCAATGTCATAAGTATAAATTGCAAGCTGCTTGATGCACTAAAAGAAATTGAGGACACCGAGGTAGACTAAGCCTGCAAGAATGCTTCAGGAAAATTGCTCTCATAATCTTAAATACTACTCACATCTTGGACTTTCTGGATGAAAGGATCTTTCCATTCAAAGACCACAAAGAACAACTGAGCGCTTTTCTCGGCAGCTGGCCTCTGGTCAATGTAGTTAACCACGCTGGTCTAGACATGGAAGAGAAAACATTACCACCCTGGACCCTCCATTGCCTGAAAGAGCAGGAAGGGGGCCTTAGACTCCAGCTTTTCTGACACCATCTTTTGGAGAAAGACCCAAAGAACTTGTATACACAAGATGCCCAAACCAGTGTAGTTCCCGAGGCTTCACCGTGGTTTCCACAGTTTTGGGAAACAGGATCTGAGATATCCAACACGTGTTTTGAGTAGTTTACTGAAATTTGTCACCAGGGGCCTATACTCTCAATTAAACTATATATAGACTACCATGGAAGAGTCCCAATTAAAAGCAATAAAAATCCCAAATTC